TCTCTGCTATCTCTACAATCTATATTGAGTCACATGATCAGAATTAAGAAATTAAGGAATTAAGAATAATTCCAGACTGTAACAACGCAATTTTCCAGACTCATAGAAAGAAAGAATATTCTTAATGCCATTTTCACTAATTTCTGGTGCATTTTCAAACAAATAGTGTGTTGCAGGATTTGGTTCACCAAAGATGGATGATAACTTTGCGACCAAGAACCAGAGTGAATCTTTGTGTAACTTAATCACGTGAGCATTTTGACTTGCCACAATGTCATCAGTATATTCTGCAAGAAGCATTGATAGATGATCTCTCTCGCTCTGGGCTGCCTTAATCTTCAGCATTACAGTCGACTGGTTGGTAAGATTTCCAGTTATATTTTGTTTGATGAACTTTACGCTGTAAGTTTCAAGTGCTTCATCAAAAGCTAAATAGTGTCCCTCATTTGCAAGGTTTACCGAGTATACAGTCTGTAGCAATTTCTGTAGCTGTGAATCATCATGAACTTGAGCTAAAAAGTGTGCTACGGAACTTGTGTACTTAAACTTTCCAGCTACAGGAAAAAGGGGTGCGAATGCAGCCAAATTTGCTATCTGCATTCTATAATTTCCCTTTCTAATTCCAATTTTATACACCACGAAGTATCCTGTTCAACAGAAGAAAAGATATCATATCTTCGTTAATTGATTATCACCCTTCAAAATATCGTTCATGGTTTTCCCTTTGTCTTTCACATGCTGAGATAATGCAATTCTGACTGCAACCCAGATCAATTCCAAAACACGGCACGTTACTCTGTAATCTATGACGCGTTCAAATTTGTCTAAGTATTGTACGCCAAGGGCTGCTGCAATGTTGAATATTCCATACCCCGAGAATATTGTAATTAGAGTGCTGTACATATTTTTAGATGTGTGCCACTGCTCCAAGAGAAGTCGAACATCATTGTTAATTTTCTTATAAGAGATTAATCTCGCAAAAATTGCTTGGTCACACGCAATATATAAACAATCACCACGAGATAAATCATCATGGTACATTTCGCATGCTGCATAAACATTTTCATTACAATTGGGTGGATCACCAGGTTTCAATATCACGACGTTTGTTGGTAAAGTATTGTGAACTACAGGTACTTGTTTGGTGATTTCTGAATGCACATCTTCCATACCAAAGTCATTTATATGAGTTTCTAACATTATATTCAAAATAGTCTCGTACGTCACTAGAAGATTGTTGATGGTTGAGGATTCTCCGAACAGTGATTGATTGATGGAATTCTGATCTCTGACTAGATTGTCAAGAGAGGTAGGCAGAACGAACTGAAATACCATTCGTAATGTTGCATGTGAAGTTTGTCACGTAGTGTCGAAAATATTGCCATATTGGAACGTAGAAGTCTTGAAGTCAATATTGTCGATTACTGTCAGATTCCAAATATTTGATCCTTCGATTAAATTCTTTCTAGGATCTGTAT